AGAAAAACATGACATAAGGTAAAAAAACACAAAACAATGAAGAAGATTAAGCTAAGAATCATAAATCCACAGATTCCAGATGCGACAGAAATTCATGAAGATTATATCTGAATGCTCGTATATGTGAATCAGATTTCTCACAATTTAAATTGGCCAAAGTGTGAAATTTACTGCCCGAATGCATTTAAGCAATAAGTTTCATAGTTTAACCGTCTAAATCCTTTGAAATGATGACTGCAAAGTGCTAACTTAAAAAAATTTGTAGTTCTTTTACTACGAAAAATTACCACAATTCTAAATTACTACATCTTCCTTTCGCCCTATCGTTCTCTTTTTGCTCTTGGCTTCATTATTGAAATTACGACTTATGTGTTAACATACAAACAGAGAAAAAAAAAATCTAAAGGAAACTGAGAAAAAAGGAAGAATTGAGAGATTAGTAAAAACTGTTAAAGCAAATTGCCTAAAAAACATTGTTTCGGTTTGATATGTGGATCAAAACATAGATTTAGCGTCTATTCTCATTTTTGAATCGGTGATTTAGATGTACGGGACAAGAACCCATAAAATCTATGACATTTTTACAGCAAACTAAAACCGCATCATGCTCCGAAGCAACATTTCTTTCAATGCACTTTTAAGTAACCATCGAAAGTCATCGATAGTCAAGGACAGAACAAAATTTTTGACAGAATGCAGCAACTGAATTATTTCCGAATTGGAGAAAGCGAAATACGCGGTCTGCAGGGAGGAAGAGGTGCTCCGATTTTGACCGTTATTAATTTATGGTAGTTCAAACTAATTATAACTAAAATATCAAAATTAGCGCTTGAAACGACCGACCAGTAGTGCTTAATGAAACGATGAATTTCTCTTTGCAAAAATCTTCTTTTTCCAGCGTTTGTCGCACGTTTCCACATGTTTTTTCATCATCTAGCAGCAGAAGTGAAGCGACAATGAAATCACTGGTATTTGTGCGTGTTTTGAAGATGTCCATAATTAGCTTTGACAGGTCGGCATTCAAAACTCGTCCCTTTTTTTCTGAAGGTAATTTCATGCATAATTTTTTGAACGGTACAAAAGGGAGCGTTACGAATAGAATACAAGGAGGGAAAGTTTGTTTTTACTACAGTTCACAATGACCGTTGCAGTGACAGTGGCATAGGCCAAATATTATGACCGCTAGCCCTGGAATGGTCACCTGTTTGCAATATAAAAGACTAGATATATAAATTATTTTGATTTAGACATGGCAATTTCGCCTTGGGCGTCAAATCAAGGATAACTCGAAACTTCACAGATACCAATGATAATTTGAAACTTCGAAGTTTCATCAAGTATTTCTGTTAAGAGAATCGATAAACCTCCTACCGAAGAAGAAACGAATGTCAAGATGGCTGGAATGTCTGTTCATCAAAAGATGCAGCATTCATAAAAACCAGTACGGAAACGATGCTAAATGCAAAAATGGAGAACTATGCTATTCCAGATATTTTAGGTATCATATATATTCTCTTCTGCTTTTCACAAAATACTGCTGGCCCAGCCAGTAATAAGAATCTTTATTTACATAAGCCTCTGATCCCAATGAGGTTAGGAATGCACAAAATACAATACAAAGGTAAACCCGGCGCCCACCAGCGTCGGGCAGGCTACGCTTGCTGGCCGCCTCTCTCCCGTGATCCACAATACTGAGGTGCGATAGGCTTGCCGCGATGATGAATCCGACGAAGGGGACGCTCCTGCAGCTGCTGGTGAAACGTGTCTAGGCCTACTGCGCAGTAAACTGGCCACAACTATATCGAGGCTCCGCCGTTGTCCACAGTTTATATAAGCAGTTTCCTTGGCGGGTGCTTGCCTGCTACTCTGCCCTGTGTTGCCGATCCCAAGAATACATTTTAAAAAATTTTTTGAGAATTAATTTGTTTATAAATTTAATGATTTTAACCCCAAAAAACCAAGAAGTTGATTTTTGAATTCAACCCATTTATAAAGCAAAACATTCATGCGCTTTAAATATGCATAAAGAAGAAAAAACACAACAAGAAGAAAAGTGACAAATGATCCATCAGTCAGTACTACAAAATTTTTTGTAAAGTATTGAGAAAAAACAAACTCGAATGATAATTTTGTAAGGTTTTGAACAGGGAAAAAAAATCGAATAATTTTGCGAGATTTAGAACAGAATAAAGACTACTCACCGTTAGCAAATAACGTAACAATAGATTTCAGTGCAGCTGAACGCGCTGGCGATTTCA